CTGCTGACAGCGTTTTTACTCTTTTTACGGCAGCAAAATACAGCCCCATATATTAATATATTAAGCTGATACTGGTCTATCATGGGATACCCATAATAAACAAACTGGCCGCTGAATGTGGCGCTGGGAAAGTTCAGAAAATATATGTTAGCTTGGAAACTAACACGTCGCACAAGAAATGTCAGTCGTATTAAAATTGGTCTTCGTATTCAAAATGATATGAGATTATTCGTGTACTTTACGCCTAAGATGGGCGGTTGGAAATTTTTTATTACAAATTTGATGACGATACGATGGCGTTTGTCATAAATATTCGTGCTAAACCCACATTACGTTAACAAGGTGAAATTAACAGTGGGCGCTGTTTTTACACGTCTACTTTAATTTCATTGTTCAGTTTGGTTAACCATGGGTTTCTGATATCATAATCTCCGTTTAAAAGATCATTGTCATTGTTTTAACCGGAGATATTGGCCTAGTAAGCCCACGATAACATACAATTGTTAAAAAAGCGTCAATAGCCTAATGGTTAAGGGTACGGATTTCCGCTCACGAGGTCGGGGGTTCGAATCCCACCATTCGACTATTGTAAACCATATCCTAGCACAAGCCTAGAGCTTAGTTGGAATGGTAAAAGAAATATTAGTAAATTTACAAAAAATCTGCCAATATTAAAAAATAAATGTGTGACGTATTAAGTCGTGTCAATCCGCATCACGTCATAAGGTACGTAATCAGGTCATCACGCGGCCTTGCGTACCATTGCGTAAACATAATGACCTCATGAGTTGAACGACTCGAATATCAATGTAGATTTATTAATGCGCTTGCGTTTCCACTGACGAAACATCCCAATAAATATCTCCAATTATGTTACTATTGTACACATTTTTTTTATTTTCAACAGAGAATTTGTTTTCACGCAGCAACTCTAGGAAGAGCATGCAGTAAGTTTTTTCTACAACCATAATATATTCCAGCTTGGTACTTTCACGCGTTTTTGAGAAAAAGGGTCTTGACAGACGGACGGACGGACAACAAAGTGATCTTATAAGGGTTCCGTTTTTTTCCTATGAAGTACGGAACCCTAAAAAGTATTGTAATTTCAAATTTCCACTTTCCCTTTTATATTGCGATGAAAACACATGATTTCGAAATTCAGAAGACAATTACTATGTAATTTTTCCGCATTGGGCCTAAAATTAGTGGCATGTGTGTTATTACAGACATTATCTCTGTGCCTTTTATTCAGATGTCCTTTTGGAGCTATGTAACAAACGTCCATCAAAACATTCGCATTCGTTATATTAATAAGACGTAAAATTCACTAATTTACATTATTCAATGTATAGCTTATATTGAAACATTACTGTGGGACAATTTTATTGACGTCCTTTACATTCTCTTTGAAAAAACAGAGACAACAGAATTTTCAATAAAAGTCATTGCTGTCAAAACCCATTGTAAAGTCTTTATAATATCCTTCATCATTTTTTCTCAATGTAAGGTAAATAATGATGAAGGATAATTACGAGGTATTTTTAATAATCAATTTATTATTATTATATTATTAAAGATAGAAATATAAATAGGTTGATTAAAAATACTTTCAAAAACTTTGATAAAACAGAGGTAAAAAGTTAAGCAATAAGTTTGAATGTTACCTCGTGGAGATTAGTAACATCAGATGATAATTTTTTTGGAATTCGTTGCATAGATTATACAAATTACTAGCGATCACCCGCGACGCCGCTTGGAATAAAAAAAAACTAATTTGTAGCATATGTGTTCCTTCATACTATGTTCTACATCTATGCCAAATTTCAGCGAGATTTATGCATCATTTCTGGAGATACCTTCAAATAAACATCCATCTATTCAAAAATTCGCATTTATAGTATTAGTAAGTTATGTATCACTTAAATACTGACATGTTCCTTGTTATGCTATTTCTAACTGATTCTGAGTCACACCTAAATCACGCCTAATGTTGACACATCAAATTACATCTGATTTTCCTTAAACCGTTACTTACTTTTATATCTTTCTTTATTTTAGGGAACACCAACAATACGTCCCCTTCAAGAGGATGTCGGTGTACGAACAGATTAACTCTGTTCTTTTACTCTATATGACAAGGAATATCAAGTCAACAGTATCTCCGTTGTGGAGGTAAGAATATTTATTAACTAACTATGGTCACGTCCTGGTTTCCAGCTAAAAGTCCAAGTCTAAGGAGATAGTGTCGGAGGCCAAAAACCACATTAGAACGCGCCATTCTCCTTAGTTAGAGGCAGCATCATCAGCTCACTATACGCCCCCACCAAAGGGATCGGAGCCTACCCTAAGTTAAGGGTGATTAGGCCATAGTCATAGGTTGGTTGACTTCACACATATCTTTTGAATTTCATCTCAGATATGTGCAGGTTACATCACGATGTTTTCTTTCACCGTAAGAACGTCGGATAAATGTACATATGTAAATCGGAAATCGAAAAACACATTGGTACATGGCGGGATTCGAACCCAGGACCTGCAGATTGCAAGTCAAGTGCTTAAGCCCTGAGCCACCGACGCTCTAGTTAGAGGCAACTAATTCAAATTAATTAGAACCCAAGTCCGTGGAGAAAAAGTTTAGAAATTACTAAAATGTCACTTTTACATTTGCAAGTTATTTAAGATAGTGAATAAGGGGTTTGAAGAGTAAGGGAGAAGAAATTTACGTGTTGTATTATGTTGGAAATAAAATAAAAGTCCCAAATTGGTAGATGCGGAACATGGAGGAGATGAAAAGTAAATAATTAATGAGCATCTTAAATGCAAAAGGATCTTTATTTAGGCCGTGATACATAATTGTTTTATTCGTGATGTTATATATTATAAGAATCGTAAAACGTATTAAATCTTTGGTTTTATGTGGATATATAGACAAAATTATTAAGGGATATGTGGGGAGAATGTTGTGACCACAACAGAACTATTACCATAAAATATGTTACTGTAATTAAATTGTGATCCTCTCAAGGAAATAAGTACCTTTAATAGCATTAACATACTTGCGGTTCTAAACGTTGTGACTCATTCCCTTTTAGCAGTTTTGTTTGCGTTTCTTTTTCATCTATAACTACGGTTATTCGGACAGTCACCTCACTCTTATATTCGACCTTCATAGTCAAATAATTGAGACGAATTTGTCGATTAAATAATTTGAATAATAATAATTATACGAAGGTTGTTTGACAAGGTTATAATCTGCATTCCTCAGGCATATCGAGTGTGATTCATTCTTGCTAACCTAAATAATTTAAAAAGTACAGTAAGCTCTCAATAATTCCTTACGCGTGGTCAAACTTTTACTTGCAATCGAATGCAGCACAAATAAAAAAAAAATTAGGCATATGACAACACATTTGAAATAACATGAAAGAAAAGATACCACTATTTACCACCTTGTTAATGTAGCCGCATTCGTTATTGTCAATTTGCGTAATTGAGCAATTTTCCAGCTTGATTTAAGTTTATCTCAGAATGAGAAGACAAGCTGGATAAGCGTCTGATGGTGACGTCTTATCTTAAACAATATTGTAATTTTCCACTACCAAAACATGCATATAAAGCAAAATTTACATCAGTTTTTTAATAGAGAATAAGATATGTTAAATATTATGCAACATGTCTTTGAAGGAACATTATAGGCATAGAATCTGACGATTAACCCACATGTAAGATCAAACTTTGTTATACATTTGTAGTTTATGAAAAAAAATATAAAATACAAACTAGGTCTTGTTCGAGACTTCGTCCACGGTTTTTATTACAAAACCAAAACAACTTAATATTATTTAATAAGAGTCTTAAATCTATGATATTAAATAAAATATTATACACGAATAATTAACTTAGCATTGGCCGCTAGAGTGGCGGCCACGGACAGGTCGACGCAGCGTGCCCGGGCCTCCCGCAAGATGGACCGATGACCTGGTCAAGGTTGCGGGAGCGTCCTGGATGCAGGTAGCACAGTACCGGTCATCGTGGCTATCTTTGGGGGAGGCCTATGCCCAGCAGTGGGCAACTTATGCCTGAGCAACAATAAACTGAAATATATTATTAAAAGGAGTCCCTTTAGGCAAAGGTTCCGAAGATACTGGCAGCGTTCCCCCTTTGAATAGCTATACTAATTCTTTGTCCGAGGTTGCTGCCAGATATAAAATAAATGTAATCGTCTAGAAACATGGATTGATGTCAAACGATTACATAATCGATTAGTAATGTAATAAAATGAAACATTTAGGGAAATAAGGAGTTAGTCAACAATGAGTCGACCGTGATCACCAATTATTTTGCGGTCACACGACCACATTATCGGGACAGTTAAAGTTTATTTTTAAAATTTCACCGAGGAATGTGTTAGAATCTTTGGGTCCGGTTAATAACTGATGAGTCAAAAGGCGTGCTCGCCGCGTCCGAGACTTTTCTTAGTGACTCATGCAATGCACAGCCTTTTTGTTGCATTTTTATTTTATACTGCATCCTTTTGATAATTACATAAAACAAGTATAACAACTTATTAAATAAGTATTGTTAATAACTTGGTAATATTTATACTTGTACAAGCTGTCGCCCGCGACTCCGTCCGCGCGGGATTAAAAATAGATGTTGGCCGATTCTCAGACCAACTCAATATGCCAACAAAATTTCATGAGAATCGGTCAAGCCTTTTCGGAGGAGTATGGGAACGAAAATTGTGACACGAGAATTTTATATATAAGATTAGCTGTCACCAACGACTCCGTTCGTTCTTCCAGATTATGTTCTTCATAAGTTTTTAAGAAATATTTCTTTCAAAGTTACATCCAGGCATTTTTTTTTTCTGACTGCAATGTTACTGACTTTATGTGACTGCCTTTTGCTAAACAGATTTGCTTAATGATTTCATGTCTTGATACCAATAAAACATCGTCGTTACCAAAAATTGTTTACCAAAAATAGAATATGATTTATGTTTCCAGGCAGCTTTCAGCTGGTTCAGAGTTAATGAGGACAATGGAGGAACTATCCTTAGTACTGATGCTATCCATCTACGCGTCTACTTCTGAGAAGCTGGATATGCAGATGGTCGCCGAGATACTGGTACACCTGGCGTCAGGACAGGATCACATGCAGACCGTCACACAATACTTGGAACTGGAGAGTCTAATAGAGGAGGTGGAGATGATGGAAACTGTTGGCTTAATGTAAGTACACTCAAAGAATCGAAAGTTTAGCAAACTGTCATCATAAGAATGGGTAGAAAACGTCTTTCGACTGTTCATCAAGTATGCCAAAAATGATGTCGTTAGCACATTTTTTTTAAAAGAGAATGGGGCAAACAAGCAGCGGGAACACCGAAGTGTTCATCGTCGCCCATGGACATCTGCAATACTAGAAGAACCGCAGATGCGTTATCGGCCTTTGAGATGGTGATACGCTCGCTTCTTGAAGGACCCTAAGTCGTAGCGGTTTGGAAATACCGTCGAGGGAGCAAAGCAGGAAATGTCGCGAAAACCGCACGGTTGTGGATTATCTGCCATCGAGATGGCGTGGATGGAATCTGGTCCTGACCTTTTCTGAATCAGTGAATCAGTAATACCATTTATATTTTCAGTTTTAATAACACCGAGGCACTTCATCTTGACGGTAATGTGGCCATTGACGTTGTCAAACAGTGGGCGATGAACAATAAGGATAGCGCGGAGAATTCTTTGCAGGATTTAAAACAAATACAACAAGTGCTGTGGAACGTTATCAGGTACACTTCCTAGCATTATGGCGGCTCGCAATTTTGCACGAGACGCTGCGTAAAATATAATTTAGATAATGGCAGATCTAAAAGAATGCCGGGGCAGGTTACCTGTGAACGCTTTTCTTTACGCGTAATATGCCCTTGCCAATAACCACGGGTCGTCATTTTGAATCTTCTAATGATTTCGACATTTTTTTTTAATCATCGTGAAGTATTTTTATATTGCCAGTATTTTAAAAAGAGCACGCAAAAAAGCTATTTAATAAACTACAGATGTTGCTGAACTTTAAAATAAATGCGGTGTTTTATATTCATAACTATTTTTCTTACCTTGAGGGAATCCGTGACTAATTGTAACCGTTTAGGTGTAATTTATTAATACTGGGTTTTTCCAATTTATTGATTAATATAAATGTTACGTATACTAACCTAATTTAAGACGACTTAAATTCTTGAAATCGTGGATTTATAATATAATATGTTATTTAGGTTCACGTATTATTCCCTTTATTACTCAAAGTTCTTTAGAATACAAGAGTGAGTCGTTAATATAAATTTATTTTAAATACGTCGCCTTCTACGGGCAGATTTACATTGTTGCAAACCATGTTATGTAGCATTGCATTATATTTCTAATAAGATAAGGGCCGCCGTACACGACTAATTTTAACTTAGGTTGCTGTCAGAAGATTTTATCGGCGACAACAATTTGCTTACACCTTGGTTTTTTTGTAGGACATCGGCGAGTCACGAAGTGTGGTCCGCTCGGAGAACTCTTGGTATTGGTGTGGCTGTACTGATCATAGTGTTGTTGGCTTCGCCTGTACTAATCCTACTCCTCAGACATACGATATGGACCATACAGGTACACTAATAAGAGCGATGCCACACGTGCATAAGCCAACGCATGCTAGCTTGCTTTATCTCTACATTCGTACAAATTAGCTCGTATGGCATTACTCTTAGAATTTATGTATTAGGATATGTATCATTGTGTTAATTAAAATTTGTATTTAAACCAATTATCGTATGTGTACGTACCCTAAACTATTGGGTTTTTAGTGCTTCTACCTCTAATCATATTATTATATTATAAAATTATTAATTTTAATCAACGTGATGAATACCAAATGTATTTGACTCTTTATTATGAAACAATTTATTTCAAAGAATTGATGCGCAATTAAATATATGTCTCTGAGTTTCGTAACTTTGAGTTTCCATTACTGACCGCCGTACGAAACATACTGTTGTCTCAAGTATCTGAAATGAAATGAGAGGGATGGCATGAAAATTTGTTGGAATAATGAAATTTACTATAACACTTTCCTTATATTCGTAATGTTTATGAGCGGAGTAAATGGATTCGAACATCACCTAAACGCGATCGAATTATGAGAAATAGATAACAAATAATTAATCATAAATATACAGTAATATGATACGTTTATATTCTCCATACAGTTTTATAATTCACTAGCTGTCGCCTGTGACTCCTTCCGCGGGATAAAAAAAAAATAGTAGCCTATGTGATCTTCTAAAGTATGTTCTACACACATGCCAAATTTCATCGAAATCCATTCAGTTATGAAGATGCCTTCAAACATTCATCCATCTATCCATCCATCCATTGTATTTATTAGTAAGGAGTTAAGATATGGATATTACTTTTTTATTTTAAATAGATTAGCCATTTAAAGATGTATTCTGGAAATCTACCGAATTTATAATTTTTTTCTTAGTGTCATACGCAATTTTCACATTTACATTTTATGTAATTCCCAAATAAAAGTAGAATATATTTACATGATAATTTATTCAAACAAAACAAAAAATACGATAGAATAAAAAAAATAATTCTATCTAATTTGAAATAAAACAATTACAAAAACAAAACATAATAAAAATGAAACATCTTATAATAAGAACACAATTGCAAAGAATTTTAAGATTCCATAGACAAAAAATACATAGACAAATTAAAGATATCGATTACTAATGTCACATAGGTTTTGAATATTTTTCATTGCATTAGTAATATCGTTTATCTAGTGTAATTTTCTGTCTCCATATATTCACAAATTAAATAAATATAATTAATCCAATAATTCGCTTAACACGTTAAACGCCATAGAAGAAATATAAAGTCACTAAAAACTTTTTGCTTTTAGTTTAGAGTTCAATCGGAAGCGAAGGAAGGAACGGAAGAAACAACTTCATGAGGTCAAAGGTGCCCTACGCGGGGGTTAAATGCATGCAGGGTTCTGGTCACCGCTGACTGGAGTGGCGTTTAACGTGTTAAATAATATCACATTTATAATTCAAAATACGTAATTAGAATTGCGTGTTAGTCTTCTTTTCTTTTATGCAGTTTCTTTTTCTTTTATTTGTTTCTAAAGAGTATTCATTTGTTTATTCGCTTCGGACAAATCAATCCTGTAATATTTTCATACCTGAAAGAAAAAAAAATAATTTTAATACTTAAAATTATCACGTTTTGTCAAAAGTTCTAAACGATAATGAAAAGGATAGTCTTCTGCCAAATAAGCGATTAAGAAACTACGCTAATGATAAAAATATAAATTACATTTCGTTAGAAAGAAAATCCGACACTGTGCCGGTGTGGCGCAACACTAGCCTTACTAAAATGTTAACGATTATGTCCCCTCACTAATCAATCTGACACTTGACTTGGTAACGAAAGCGCGCCATTCGCGCCAAAGGATTCTAATTAATACTAAAAATTTTATTTGAATTAGGAACAGAGTTATTTGACTTATTAAAGAAATTTAATTCTCACATTTCACAAGTAATGCATCCAATGGGGTAGAGCTTTATTAAATTCTTCGGACACTTCCCATCTGTTATAGCATCACGTTTGACTATACTTTTTCTAACCAACTCTGAATCTTGCGTATTAGTAGATTCGAATAATCCGCTGTTACTTCGATTTGGTAAATCAGACATCGTGAGTTTAAAAGACGAAGACAATAATAACAAACTAAACAACACTAACACTGCGAATATTTTTTTATAAATTGCCATTTTCACTGCACGTCTATCGAACACGACTCCAGATCTCTTACTAAATCCTGTCGTACACAACAAGAGGGAAGAAGTAAAAAGAATAACGTAATAATGATTCACTTTATGCATTGACTATAAATGGTCTAATGGAAGCACGCAATAACCCGCAGTGAGACAGCGTAGTTGACTAAGATCTGGTCATCCCCTAATTTATAGTAGGCTCGTGTCCCTTGGTGGGGATATCTTTGACCTTTCGACGACTATAATACCAAATATTACTAACTAGGGGTCATCCGTGACTTTGTCATCGCAGAATTTAAAAAAAGCCTCAATATGAACGCGTGTATTAGCTACCTTCGGGTCGAAGTCCCATCAAAATCAATCTATTCCTTCTGGAGATTACCAAGACAGACGGATAAAATTTTTAAAAATATTTACGTTTACGAAATATGATTTATTTCTCTATATTGCAACAGACACTCTAATTTTATTAATATGTATAGCCTATAAAATGTTAATCATATGCATCGTCTCTGGACTTATCCCACTCTTGTGTTGTTGGAGTTCCAGGTTTTCGTTTTTCAGATCGTATTTTTCGTCATTACAGTTATTACTCTCTTCTTAATCATGTCACTTTTCATACACTTTAAAATATTCGTTAAAAATACATTTATTTTTCTCAAGAATATATCGCTAACAGATTAAAGTCTGAAAAGCGCAGCGGGGTTTCTCCAACTTTTAGCTACAAGAACCCCTGTTAAAGTTTTCAAATGGCAGCGAACCTCTGACTAAGAAATTGAAGCACCCAAAGAAAATTAAATTCAAAATTGACTGCGGAAGCAAAGAGTTTTTACTCCGAGAGAAACTCGGGTCAGAGAGAAACGTCTATAAGCGAGAAAATATTGCGGTCCCTTAAACTCTCACTTATCCAGGTCCGACTGTACACAGTTTTTCTTTTTAGTTTAACAAAGAATGTTACGGGCTATAGCTAATGGCAAAATTATTCTTACTTTCTTACTAATGAATGCGAATGTTTGGATGGATGGATGGATGTATGTTTGTTAGAAGGTATGTCCTGAACGGCTCAATGGATCTCGATGAAATTTGGCATAGATGTAGAACATAGTTTGGAAGAACACATAGGCTAATTAAGTTTTTTAAATTCTGTGCGGACGGAGTCGCGGACGACAGTTAATGTGATATAAATTAAAGCTGGGATGACGCCTGAGGTTTTATGAGGTAATTTGTTACAACAATAAGTTGCGTTTAGTGCAACAATTCATAATTGTTGTTATTATAAGATTGGTATGCGTGTTTCTAATTAAACAATCAGACGAAGTCAATTTTGTTTAATATAAATATGTAGATGCGTTGTTGTTTATTGAAGACTATTTCATGTAATCTTCCTCATCACTTGTAACGCCTTAATTCTTTTTTTTTCTTTAATTTTATTCTGATTCTTACGTATTCAAAGAAATTCAAGGATGTTTTATTGGAGGTATCAATTCGATTTTTTTTTATTTATTGATTTAAAAGGGAGCGTCGGTGGCTCAGTGGTCTAACGCTTGACTTGCAATCTGCAGGTCCTGGGTTCGAATCCCGCCATGTACCAGTGTGTTTTTCGATTTCCGATTTACATATGTACATTTATCCGACGTTCTTACGGTGAAGGAAAACATCGTGATGCTGCACATATCTGAGAAGAAATTCAAAGATATGTGTGAAGTCAACCAACCCGCAGTGGGCCAGCGTGGTTGACTATGGCCTAGTCACCCCTAACTTAGGGTAGGCTCCGAGCCCCTCGGTGGGGACGTATAGTGAGCTGATGATGATGATTTAAAAATGCTAAGAAGATATACTTTTTATCTGGTGAATAAGGTTTAATGCTTCTTTAACATTTTTTTTACTATTTGTATTTGTATATTAGAATTTTCCTCAGTTTTTTCCATAAAATGCTGACAATACAAGTTTTCGAACATATACTCGTACTTTTCTTTCATTAAGTATAGGAGAAATAAAAAATGAACATGTTAGTTGCGTAGTTTTATTTATAAAAACATAATTACATACAAATTATTACATAATATAGATCAAAAATAGATATACAATATCAAATAGAAAAATTAACGTTTTTTGAAGATCTGACTAGAGTTTTTGAAGCGCTTATACACTGGTTAAGGACACGGAAGACTGACCTCTATAAATGGACTGGCTATTAGAAGTAATATTTTGTGCCTATTTGATTTTCGCCATTTTGGCGCTGATGGTTGCGGCTTGTAGCGGTGGCGTAGATTTGAACTAATAGTGTAGATAGAATTCATTGTCAATAGCCGCTTTTAGCTTTTAAATCGGAACGAAGTAAACCATTATTTTACATTTTTATATAGATCGATCGAGAGTACATTTTACTACAATGGGTTCGAATCCCGCCTTTCGAATATGGTAAAACATATCTTACATAGTGAATTAACAAACATTTTCTAATATCAAAAAATGTGTCTCTAAAGCGTTAATAGTAATGGTTAAGATTACGGATTTCCGATCACGAGGTAGGGAGTTCGAATCCCGCCATTCGACTATTGTCGTAAATCATATCCTAGCACAAGTCCTTAGTTGGAATGGTAAAAGAAATATTATTGAATTTACAAAAAAAACGCTAATATTAAAAAAAGATGACATAACAAGTGCTGCTTATTCTTATTTGGAAATCAGATTTATTGTTAAAGTTCATATTTTATATAAAACGAGTTAAAATAGTTGGATTAGATAAAAAAATTGCGCCATCGATTTTTTATTGTTTTAGTCAAAGAATAATTTATTGAAATTAATACTGTGATA